AACTGCCTCACTGCTTCAGATCCCACCTATATCAAGCTGTCATGATACAGCTGTCACTGAACTCCTGTCACAGGTATCTCATTGCTCTTCTCATCATACCCCCTTATCTCCTCCTTCCTCCTGAGACCTTTGCAGATACCTGCTCCTCCTCAGGATTTACTTCAGCTGTCCTGAGGCCCTCTTTCCCCAGATAATGATTTTTTCCTCATTGTGCTCTAATTACAATACACTAATCAACACACAGGTGTGTGTCTTACAGAAAATCATATCACATGCAGCCCTGATCTTGCCATGCCTGGCAAGGCTAACAGGCAACCAGTGCTGATCTTCAGCTCAAGTTTTTAGTAAGATAGTTCCATAAACACAATGACGTCATGTCATGACATCATTATTTTCCTGTAGGTTGAATCAGCTTGCTTGCTTTTACAGGAAATTATATGTTCACAGCTCCTTCAACTTAATTGACACCAGGGAACTGCCACACACATTACTTCCAACATTTAGGTCTCAAATGCATGAACAACATTCCCATCATCCATTAGGTACACACCCAAACCAGACTTTGCCATCAAACAAGTGAAAACAGCTAAACAAACATAAAAATCAGGTTTAGAGTATAAAATAAAAATTCAGAATATTACTTCTGGGGGAAGGGTGAAGGCAAAATTGCAACACCTTGTGCTATGGGGCCTTCTGGCCTGGTTGAAAACACTGGATGCTATGGTAATACAATACCAATGCCAAGATACCAAAGTTTTAATGACTCCATCTCCCACCTCCCCAAATCCCTCCTAATATTAACCATGATGTAATTGCAGCCTGTACTGTTCATTTTAGCATTGTTTGGAATGGTTTTGCAGAAGAAAGAATAGTACTGGAAACTGAAAATTCATTGTATAAAATGAGCTAGATAATGTGAACTAATGCGCAAAACTACATATAACGGAGGGAAATCAAAAAAGGCATTCTACTTTGTTCATGGATATAGGACAGAACAAAAAATCAACTTAAAATCAAACTTAAAATCAGCATCTCTCTTGAGAGTCTAGGTGAAATAGAAGAGTCATAAGCACTGTATTTACGGGTTAGATCAGGTTTCATAGAATCATCAAATGTTAAGGGGTTGGAAGGGACATTAAAGATCATCTATCATCCCTGCTGCCATGTGCAAGATCATCTCCCACTAGACCAAGTTGCTCGAGGCCTTGTCCATCCTGGCTTTGAAGACTGCCTGAGATTCCTTCCTTCAGATCAGTTTAGATCCAACCCTGTTCTACTGCTACACCAGTAAAGAATAGAGAAAATATTCATAAATTTACAAGTACTGTTGTCCTCATTATTTGCAGGAATGGAGGGGCAGAAGGTAAAGGGGAAAGTGTCACAGTTGACAGCCACGTGTTTTCAAATAAAGGCTAATGTGTGCATACCAGCACTCATTTTACACACCACTGCCAAAACTGATAAACTGCGAAGTCATCTTTGTAGTGACACTACACACAGAGCAAAGCCCTGAAAATCAGGGGCTGAAATGGTACATTTGGGCCATTGGTGTTCTAAGTTGAAAATAACTTCTATGACTCTCCCTTCACTACTACCAAAGACATGGATAAGTTCCTAGTTCAGGATTCAAGCTGCTGTTTGACTCTTAACAGGCCTCTACATACATCAAGCTCTAGACATTTATGTAATCCTTGGCACCTCAAGGCTTTGTCACAACCTCTGGGAATACATTTGTAAGATTTTAATTCAAAGGGTTGAGTTATGCATTTGCACTAACATCCTGCATATGATCACTGAGCTAGCTGCAGCCCTACAGTCCCATCCCAAAACCTGCCAACCTCATCTATAACAGTCCTGTCAACAGTTCATGCACAGTTTACAATGGTCAAAGTGTTTTTCATTATTTTTCCGAGAAGAGCCCTTGCAACACATTGAAGGGCACAGACATACATCTTTTCATTATTTCAGTAATAGCATGCTTTTCTTATGAAAATGTTGTGCTATTCTGTGATTATAATAATCTTCTTTCCCAGGAAATTTATGATTCAGTATGTGTAAATACTCATCTCGGGGGTCTGCCCTTGTGGTGGCTTTGGCCACCCGCAGAACTACTCACCGCATTTGTGTGTGAATTGCATCAGAGTTGTGTGTATAATAGATTCTCCCTTCTTTTGGCTCTCCTATCCATCTGGGTGCTTGCCAAGTATACTGGCTGGCCACCTTATTAGCAACAAAAATGGGACTTGAGTCCCAGCAAGACTCTGGTGGAAGCTGGAGGTCTCCCTGTTGACTGTAGTGGTGTTCAACCACTTCCACCACTTCAGCAAGGGCCTTCCAGCAGGTGGTTGTGGACTCTGGTTGCTTTAGTCCTGCAGACTATGGAGAGCTTTCGATCACACTTAACTTTGGCACAGGCTAAGGGCACTCCACTGTCACTAGATAAACTCATTACATAACGCAGCTCTGTGCATGTGCCATGCTCTCTTGTTGGTTTCCCCATAAGGCAGGTTCATGTACGTAGAAATCTGGTGGGTTTTCAGTGGCAGAGGCAGATTCCTGGCTAACCATGAACCAGCATTTCTCCGGAGCCACAGCTTTCCCAGCGAGGCTCCCACATGTTCACAGTCTGGATCTGTCTCACCTCAAGCCCCAAGTGCTATGCCTAGGCCAAGCCACATGTGACCCCAACATGCTCTGACACCAGCTGGTCACCCCTACGTGGGATGAGACCAAGCCTTAGTAAGCTGAGATCATGTTTCCAAGAAGCGAAGAGAAAGGGAGAAGTTTGCGCAGCCCATTGTCATTGCCGGCGGTATTTTCCAGACTAAGAGTAAACTTGGGTCATTTACTGGACCCCAAACTTTCTTTGCATGTATACAGGAAAACAGATGCTTCCCACTCCTGGGCCCCATGCCTGAGCAGGCTCCCTCAGCAACATCATAGGCAGGGGACAAAAAACAGGGCAGCAGAGACATTGCTTCCTGCCTCTGTCTGCTTTGAGCTGGCCGAAGAGCATTATCTATCCCGCACACTTCTCTGGCCTCCTTGCCAGGGTATCAGGCAGGCTCACAGCGTGCAGTTTGCTTTTCCTGCTCCGTAGGAACAGCTGCTGCCTCTGCTCCCAAACAGGGAACGGAGGCCAGGGCTTGCAAGCACTTTGGCTCAAACAGGGTGCATGGGGCAGGGATGAGAGAGTTGGGCAGTGAGCCACATCTCCCAGAGCCTGAGCAGGTGGGTGCCCCAACTACTAGGTAACCTTTCATCTTCCAGCATTAAAGGCCTGGCATGGTCCATCCAGAGCCCTATCTTCAGTAAGCCCCAGGTGCAGTCCTCCAATTAATTCATTTATGCCAGCATAAAATAAATTTCAGGCTCTTACAATGAATTGAAGTGGCAAAGGTGAAATAGAGTACAAACTCATGTGCCTGGACATACACTTAAGCATTTGACTTCAGGTTGGCCACCTATCAGTTTCTTGCCTCTTCTGCAGCAGTGGTTTTCTTGCCTCTTCTGCAGCAGTGGTGCTGGTCCCTGCCTGGTGCCAGGACTGTGATTTATTGTGCCCTTCTGTGGTCCAAAGTAGATCTTTCTTCAGCTTTCTGCCTGAAGAAAGTGACACAGGCTGCTTGAGGACGTGATGCACTCACTGTTCCCCTCTCCTGTGACATTTCTTTATATAAGCAGCTCAATAGCAAAACATATCAGTGTTCATATCATTAGTAATTTTGTTATTTATAGTGAGCTGCCACAGATGGAGACTGCAGAACCATTCTATCTTTAGGGCGTAGTGCCTGCCTGTCCCTACAGACAATTGGTAATTAGCACAAGAACAAGTTGTTTATCTATTCTCAAACTTAAACAAATAGGAGACCCATTTATCCATCAAAATTCAACTGCCTCCTTTTGTCAGATCTCCAGGTTAACTGCTTAATGAATACAGCTCATCACTTCAGGCACTTAAGTAATGATGAAAGTGTCTTTAGAGGAAATGAAATATGCAATAAAAAATAACCAGCTATATACCAAACAAATAGCATTTAGATGAGAAGGATCATGAGCACTAGACCAGATGAAGGTCACAGGGATGCCAGGCAGACGTGCAGAAATGGATCAACCAGTACACAGGGGAAATGTGGTGCATATATCGTACTTACTCCTGACATGTGTGCTTCCTACCAGTACAGCCACCCAGCTCTGAGCCAATCACTCCAAGTGAATCCTTGCATGAGCATGAAACTGGAGAAGAAAAGGCAGAGAGGGTACTTGCAGGTTTTCAAGTAAAATCCCATATGCTCTAAGATGGCCTTGTATACCTTGGATGGCAGGACCCTTCCCAATGGAAACACCACAAAAGCCAGGGAGAACATATGACCTTTTTTTTTCTATTTTTATTGCTGATTCCAATCCTCCTTTGTTTTCTTTTATTCACTGTATCCACCCATGAAGGTAGAGAAGAACAGGCTTTGTGAACAAAACTGGACTTGTGAATTGCACCTAAGGGTTGGCCCCACTTCCTTCTCTCCTTGTCCCCCCACCCTCCCCGTGAATGGGAGGAGTGCACTCACTATTAATGCCAAAGCAGTCCATGTGGAAAAGAACAAACAACCCTTGTCAAAAAACCTTTGTCAAAAAACCCTTCTCACCGGTCAAATGTTTTCAGCATCTGAAAGTGTTCACTTACTCAAGCCTACAAGTGCAAGAGTGTTTTACATGCATATGGGTGTACACAAATCCTTATGTACAGGGTGGGAAAACTATCACACAGCAGAAGTGGGTCAGATCTGAGGAGTTCTGCCAGGCCTCCACTTTCAATCATATGGAATCCAGTAAATTTCTCAATTTTACTGCCTTACCATCCAGACAAACTTTATTTGGCCTTTTTATTATCCAGTTTACAGCATCCAGGAAGGGGGTTAAAGCTCCTAAATTCTAAAAAACTATTCCAAATACAGCAGCTGGAAAACAATAACTAATGAAATGGTCCTTCTTTTGTCTTTCAGCTCACAACTCCAAATTTTCCTGTAGTGGTCAAGCTGGGACATGCTCATGCTGGAATGGGGAAGGTAAGTAAAAGAAAACATATGTATATATATATATATATTTATCTGGAAACAGATACATATATGGCACAGCATTCCTGTGATTACACATGGCATGTGACCAGCCAGCCAAGGGGTTAAACCTCCCCACAACCTATCTGGGTCGCACTGGCTGTTCCTGTGGGAGAAAAGACCTTTTTCCGCTGTCACGCACTTGGAGACAGGCAGTGGGATTGGGTTGGAGGCTGTCTGGGATGCGGAAAGGGGGGTTGGTGAAGCATGGGGGGAAAGCAGGCTGGGCTGAGGTCATTAGGCTTGTCTTTTATACATTTTTCTCTTCTCCTGAAAGTGGTAGTGTTGTTTATTCAAGCACCTGTAAAGTGCAGCTACACCCCATAGCACTCACAATGAAGAGCTGTGGCGCTGGGCTTCTCGAGTGCATTATGATGACCTTATTCAAAAAACAGGAGCCCTTCAGTTATTTTTTTCCTCCTCGCAAGGAAGAACAAGACCTTACAAAGCAGAGTGGCTGGTTGCCTGCCAAGGAATCCTGAAAAACAGTTCACTACCCAGAAGGACCTGTTTGTTTTTCCCAGGCTCTCTGGGATCTTTATTCCCCCAGTGAATTAGCAGTCCCTGTTTCTTGGGGTGAGTGGGCTCCCCTTTCAGTGAGGCATCACCAGCACATTCCTGCTGCACTTGAGTCTCCTCTTTCTTGCATATATCTTTTCAGAAGGCATCCCCTATCTGTCTAAAACTTGTTCTGTTCAGAAGTACAAAATTGAGGTATCATCTCCAAATCCAAGTGAGTGGTACATGAACTTTGTAACTGATACGCCTGTCACAGTCCCTCCCTAGAGCAGACAAACCTTCTCCTGGCCTCACGCTTTGCCTGAAAATATATATAGTTACACCAAATTTAAACTTGGTACAGTTTGTTTGCTTGTGCTCTGGAAACAGAAGCCCTTTCTGGCTTGCTGGATTGCACATGGAAGATCTAATAATCTTTCTTGCTTTGGTTGCAATGTTCACCTGTTGGTAGCTGCTGGGGAGGAAGTGGGCACAGATCCCTGTGCCAGTGGTGGAGTTGGCTTTCGGCATCAAGGAACAAGCATGTAAATAAGCAGGAAATGTTGGTTAATATATTGGTGCTGTCTGTGTTAAGCAGGCAGAGGTGTCATTGAATTAGAGTGTGTGCAGACAGCCTAGAGGTGCTTGTAGGGAGCCACTAACTTGTTCCTAGGAAGGATTTCATTAGCAAAAACCAACCAGGACAAGCCAGAAGGAAAACCTCTCCCTTGAGACCCTGCATGTTTCTGACTGCTCTGCCATTTCACCTGTAATGCAGGAAGGGCTTCATATGTCTCATGCCAAATATCCTTAGTGGCTACAGAAAGGAGGGCAGAATCAGAGAAAAGCACTCCAATCCAATCAGCATTTCCAGACAAAACTCTCAGCAGAACATTTAGCTATTGTCTTCTGCACCACACACCAGATCTTTTTCCACCTCATACATTCCCTCCCATTTTATTCCTTAATTATGTTGATTTTTGCTGTCACAAGTTACAGAGGAAGAGAGTTTCTATTCAGACTCCTGGCACAATTGTACTCAGAGGTACAAGGAGGGTATGTAGGAAGTCGTTCCAGATAAATAGATAGGCTAACAGCCAGCACCTTAGAAGAAAGAATTGGTCTGAGGCCAAGTTTACTTTAGTCTGTTATGAAATTAGTCACTACTAGGAAAGTCTGGATGTGCATTTGGGCACAGAGTTTCAACATTGCTCTGTTCAGTGGATGGAGAAGGTACAGGAAGCAAGTGTTGTTGACCTTATGGTTTTATTTTGGGCCCTTCTCCAGCCACAAGCAGCCTGAAGGAAAGTTGAGACTGATTAAATTTTCTCTCTTCAGTCTCACTTCATTTCATTGCACTGAGCAAAAAGAGAAGAGAGAAAGATAAAATAAAACAAAGAATAAATCAGTTGGTTTAAAACACAAGTAACAAGAATTTGTTTCATGCTTTTTTTGAAACAGTAGAGTTCAAGACCAAGCAGGACTGACAAACCCACAAACCCACAGAAAATATAACAGAAATACCGAGAAGAGGAATTATGGGTATACTAGAAAAGTAACACCTACAGATAGAAAAAAAAATCAAACCTACAATAAAGTAATGCAGAAGAGAGAGGTTCCCAGGAGACATTATGGTGTTTTTAGCCATCATAATGCAAAAGCAATAACCAGTGAGATTAGAGGGAGCTAAATTATTTCCTTGCACTGGTCTTCAGAAGTAGAGATGATAGCAGGAAATAACAGGTCTTGTTAATGTTAATAAAGCACCTGCATCAGGTCATGCTTTGTATTAAACCAGTGGCTGGAGAAACAAAGGATAAAATAACCAATGTATTAGCCAAAATGCACATGTGAGTATTAAAATAGTACTTACTGCAACAAATGATGCCAAGATAGTGAGCCATGTATTTGTACCTGTAATTGGTGTTTCAAAGGATGTGAGCATTCAGGTTACAATGTTATTACCAACAGAAATTGTCAAGGAAGTACTTACATTTTTTTTGTTATTAATGATAAAATCACATGAATGGGTGATTGAAGAGAAGAGAAAAATGAGCAAAGATGGGAAGTCCAGGCACTGTTATTCTTTGTTTCTGTGAGGCAGTGGCCAGGAGCCAGAAGAATTCTGGATGAAGAAAATGCCTCTTCCCCAAAGAGCTCCACCATCTGCTTTCAGGGAGATTTGTGTCATTTCAGTTTTCTTCAGTTTTTCTGTGTTACAAACCAGAGGAATTATAATGATTACCTGATACTTATTGCTAATTCATGTTCATAATGTTCTTGGCAGTGTAAGTGCTGAGTGTTTATTATTTCGCAATAATTGCTAGAAGGAGCATAATTATAATTGACTTTCATTTTCACATATTGTTTGTTTTGACATAATTTTCACAAAATTCACTCACCACATTTTTTAGTCAGAGGGCTGAACAAAGAATCCCCAAAGCTAAAATGAAAAATAACCACATTAGGACTTTTACAAAATCGGCTCTGTTGACTGCCTTCCCCTTAAGGGTGGGTCACCACAACTGTCTTTAGCCTGGGAGAGGAACAGCTATCATTCAGGATCAGAACCAAGAGGGGTGGCAGTGTACCATTCATAAAAGAAATGCTCTTGCCAAGTGATGTGTGCGTGTGAGGTGCATGTGGAGATGGAGAAAGCAAATTTGCAATAAAAGGCATCTTTTTAAATTTCCATTGAGAAATGCAGAAACAACAGCCTCTCTATTGACTTGAACAGAGACACCAGTAATAGCCTTCACCCAGGAACAGACAATCTTCTAATCTAAAAACAGAACACATGCCCCTCGGCCCCTCCCATGATCACTGTTATCCTCCTTCCAAAATTTGGAGTCACATTGTATTTCAGTGGCACTGGAAGATCATAACAAATGCTCTATGTGCTTCTGGCCCTGTGCAGTATTGATACAAATAAAATATTTGTAGAAATACTGCTCAGACAATTGTTTACAATGGAGTCAGCAGAGAAGGACCTTTCTCATGTTGTACTTAAGTTGCCCAGACCCACAGGATCAACAGTACTCAAGGAATCTTCCAGGGAAACCATGGATGGACACTGAGAGATGTCTTTCCATGTGCAGAACAGAACTGTTGTTTACCCAGCAGCTCCTTAGAGGTCAAGGCATTTTTAAGCATTGTGCAGTTTGAGTCTACCTACCCCAAAAGTGATTGGGGGTCTCTGTTGAATAGGGAGAGTCCTGCAGTGAGAAAGGAATAACACTTCTTCCTGACTCCGGATCTCATAATGCCAGAGCCCATAGAAAAGAATAAAGCTCTGAGTGTGTTAGTATTTGCCATTTGTGTGTTAACATGACCCTAAAGTGCCCTAGGAACAGAGCCCAGTACTGCAAATTCACTCAAAGAGCCTCTTCACCTCTTCCTGATCAGATCATGAGAAGGAAACAACTGCCAGATCTACAAAGAGAGGAAAACCAGTATCTGTCCGTGTGATTTTACATGTATTTATATCAATTTTATATATATATGTATATTTTGCTACTACTACTTTATTTTTACACATCTCTAATTAGGTCAGTTTAAGAGTCACCTCCTGTCCCCTCCTGCCCCATAATTATGAAGGCACTTTCCCAATACAAATCCTGGCTCAGATGAATTTATTACATTGTAGAAGAAAAACTTGTTGTTCATAATAATATGGTCAGAGTTATTTTCTCTCTTACTGGATGGGAAAGACTTCTCTGCTTCTTTTTTCCCCCTGGTATAAATATAGCACAAACTAAACAGAGCCACTCTGTAATGTAAAAATACTGCAAGGTTTTTATCAGGAAGGACAGCTCGTCACCTTGTCTCTCTCGGGACTGGAAATAGAATGTTCCAAAAGTGAGAGCTTTGAAAATCCAGTGTGCTAAAGAGGAAAGGAAGGGAAAGGGCTGCCTTGGTTTGTCAAGGAACAAATATTTTCTTTTAGAGAAGACAAATAATGACTTGACATGTAACATTCATTCACAACAGAGCAGCCCAATCACTGCATTACCACTGACTCATGAGTGAGTATGTTCCAAATGTCTTGAAAATAGCAAAATTTCTTGCACATCAGTCTGAAAGGTTTTGCTGGACACAGGAAACAGTGACTGACCCAAGGCACCAAGGACCAAAGCAGCCAAGACCTGGGCTCTGTATTAGGAAGGTTCAATGCATTAATGGCAGCAGACTTCAGTGTGAGGATAATAAGGAAATGCAGACACCATTGTGACTTCACTGTTTTGGGGTGGGTCAAAGTTAGGCCTAAAATGATTGTGTGTCAGTTGGATTGGGTATTTTCTGAGAAGGAGAACATAATTTGAGGTAGAGGAATGGAGAGATTCAGAAAATCATCTGCACAGAACTGCTACTGAAGACCCACTATACCAAGATGGTAGGGTCCCTACAGAAAGGCTGAGAGCAGGTCAAGATGGACAAAAAATCACAAGCTTTTGTGTGGCTGCACCAGTTCCTCAGAGGAAAACGCTGAGACCGTGCATTTTCACAGGGCTACCAAGACTCAGTTAAACACCACATTGCCAAGTCCAGCCCTGGCTCAGCCTTGGACACTCATCTTCCAGCTGAACCTGGCTCTAACGTTATTCTGGACACAGGAAGTGCTTCTGCAAGTTGTCTCCAAAGTGCTGTGTGTTTAGCCTGAAGGGCAGAGTTAACCTCAAAGGCAGAGTTCACACACTGGATGACACACAAGAAAGGAAAGGCTAGGGCATCCTAGCAGAATAAGATAACTATGGCACTTTGGCTAACCAACTATTTTTTAATGTAGCCACATAATGAAAGCAAAAGGGGACTGCAAAGCAATACCTTGCAGTGCTTAGGCTAAAGATGAGGGAGGAGAGCCATAGCCCTGGGACCCTGGTGTCCAGGAACATCTGGAATGTACAAGAGGCAGCAGATTAGGGAACTGTGAGACAGAGGAAGCCAAAGCTTCAACCCTCACTCAGGAGATAGATCCCTCACTAAAGGAACCTGTGCTCACACAGATCACAGGTGTGGCTCAGACTGCCCAGGAAATTGCCACAGTTTTAACTCTGCCAGAACTGACCCAAAGTCCTGCCTTACAAGAAAGGCTTCAAAATGTGGTCTGCAACAGGGATGGAGCAGAATGTTCCTTCATGACCTGCCCCTTGGACTTCTCTCCAGCCAAAGGCAGAAAGATCAGTGCTTCTTGGATGGCAACAGGTTCCAGATGCAGGTCATGTAGTATCAGGCTCTGAGATGCCACCACAGGGCAAAAGGATGGTCACATCTGTGTGAGCATGCCCCCAGAGATCGAGCCAGACTCCCCTTTCCAACAGGGAGCATGCTAGGGCATCACCACTGCCTGGGTTAGAGAAGAGAACCAGAAGGGAAGGAGGAGTTTTTTTACTCTGAAAAGGCATTTATCAACACACTGGCCCAAACCCTTCTTAACAGGTCACTAAAATGCAACAGCAAACAGCAACTTCTGGCTTCAGAATGAGTCTGTTGCTGCTCAAACAGCCAGCACAGCTAAGCAAACAGGCTGCCAGGGCAGGGGCTGTGTTTGTACTCACTGTTTGCACTCCTCTATGCAGTTAATGGGATATAGAATTTGTCCTAAGAAGGTTGCAGAATAAAAGAGAAAGAGGGAAAAAATGGCTTCCTGTTGGTTTCTTCTCAACTTCTTTTATCAGTTTCATGTATTGGCCAACCTGCCATTTTAGAAGATTTGTCTCGTTAGAGACAATTAAATTGGTAACTTTGCTCTGGATTGATTTTTAATAGTACTAACTTAAATAATGCCCTCTGGTGTCACACTACATCCACCCTGGCTTTGGTTATGTCTGGGATTTTTTCTTCTTTTAGGAAAATGGATATCTTATTGACATCTAAAAGGGTTACAAGGCAGAAGGAAATGAATTATACAAAATTTAAAAGTAGGAAGCTAATAAAATGGGGGATTCAATAGATAAGGCAGGAAAATAAATCTAATTTGACTGTAACTTGAGTGCTTCCTGTTTATGAAGTAATAACCGTACCCTGGGATAAACCAGCATTAACCCAGAACACGGCAGTTATTTTGTCAAATTTGGCTGGCTCTAACAATTAACAAATGGTGGCTCAGATTTCAGCTTTGATGTGGTGATTATTTTGATGCCTGGTGGGAAATAAAGCTGTGATCTCCTACAAGGGGACTTCTGTGAGTTGCTTTCTCTGAAAAGTCCATGGGAAGTACTCTGGCACAGGCCAGGGAAGATGCCAAAGCTGTTTCCTGAGGGCTGTGCAGTGGTGTAGCACTGTGGGAGTCATCTTTATTTTTCATTTCGTACTTTGTGTCCTTGGTGAGTTTCCCCTCTTTATTAACCCAGCCAAAAGTCCTCAGGCCCATTAGAGAGAATACTTTCAATTGCTTTCCTTCTCTCCTCATAGGGAAGGGGTGGTGGAGAGGAGGAACAAATCCTTCCTTTCCATAGCGTGCTGTATTTTTGAGGAAACATCACATTTAACAAGATGAGCTCCTTTCTAGCAATATCAATACGGTCTAATTCCAATCTGGAGGGGGAAGCTGCATCCTTTCCTCTACTCTGGGTCAAATGTTCCTGAGCTGAGGATGCAAACATTTCACTTTGGGCGCTAAGACATCTGTTGCACAAGCATAGTACTTTGTTTCAAATCCCACAAACATCCTTATTCCAAATAGGTCATTATATAATTTTGTATTTTCTCACTCCCTAAAGGGTCCAGGAGAATATGTTGTAACACAGTCTCAGTGTCGCCTGCCCTTGCAGTCCCTCCTGTGATCATCTCATCTGGGTGGGACTCTCTTGCTTGATGTCATTCAGGCCAGAGCAGCTCTTATCAGTGCAACAAAAATACCCAGCTCCAACACAGCCTGCATTGTTCCCTCTGGTATTTTGCAAGTCCAGGCTCTGGGTTCCCACTCCCATTTTCCCCGCTGCCTCCAGGGCATTCCTACCACCTCACCCTGCCCTGCACATCCCCACTCAGACAGAGAGGGAAACAACACAGCCTAGAGCAAGGCTGCTCCTCCTGGATGCCTTGTAATGGTTGCATTTACATATCCCCTTTTTATATATTTCCTTTTTTTTTTATTTTATGGTACCCTCCCTTCCCACAGATGACTGTCATCACCTTCTGCTCCCTTCCTCAGCAGTTCCTGAATGGTGAGAGGACAGCCCTCACCACAGCAAAAGGGAGAAGGACTAGGGGTATTTGGTGGTCAGTAATGGGAGAAGCAAAGATGAGTTCTTTTTCCTATTCCGGCATCTAGAAATGGTCAAGTGTCAAACTGGTTGCACTTTTCACCTTCCCCACAACTGTTCAGTTTTCAAGAGCCTTTCTACAACAGGATGTGGCCAAATCTTTGGCCTGTGCATAAGCTGGCACTTACACAAAACAATCTAAAGAGAGTAAAACAGGTTAGCAGCAAGCTTGTCCTCTGTTCCCTAGAGAAGATAGCTCCCATCCTCCCATGGTTGAAAGCAGATGCATGAAACCACTTGTTTGTTCTTTGCGAAGAAACACCAAATACCATTGCATGTGCCTCCTTCAGATGGCTCCACAGAGTCTGGCATCACCCTCCTTTAACACACAGTGACGCAGCTGAGAAACTCTTCCGGAGAAGAGACCGATGGATTGTCACCCATCAATGCATACTTAGCAAAGCAGGGTTGCAATGATGATTTTTATGATTATTGCATTATTTTATAATTATTATATCATTAGAACTTCTACTGTTTTGGTCATTCCTCATTTCAGTTCTTTTTTATTAAGATACAGAGCATTTCTCATAACTGAATACAGATCTGTGAAAAGCCATCTTCTCACAAAGACGATAGCTCACAGGTCTCAACTGCTCTTTCCTTTCCAAGTGCAACTCAAGTCTAACATCCAACCAGCTATCCTACCCACATTCCCATTGCCTCACACTCACATAAGTCTCCCCAAGAGTCACAAACTCCCCCAGAGACATCCTTTTCCTTCAGAGTTTTTGTCCAGTCAAGAGACCTGCACAACTCCTCAAAGTCCTCAAAAAAGTGTGAAATGTCAGGGAACTGAAGCCTAGAGGTGGCAGACAACCAGCTCTCATGTTGATTTCCTGGAATTGTTTTTTATTTCCTGGCCACCCAAAACACTCTGTTTTCATCCATCACAACATGGGAAATAGCAGTTGCGAAGTTTGAATGAAATAATACCTCTTAAAAGATTGAATATTTTTCTGAAGCATCCTGAAAGCAAAGAACATTAGCAACAGCCACTTGGGCAAAGGTCTAGCTGCCTCCCTGGTGCCAGGTTTACAAGGACTGGTGCATGAGAAAGGAGAATGGGATGGATTTGCTCTGGGTTGGTTTGCTCTGGGAAACTTCTCTCTTTGAATCACAGAAGCCCTGCTCTGTCCTCAGCTGTGTCTGTGTGGGGTTTAACTGACATTGTGCTATTCAGATGCAGAGATCTGCTCACAAAGCTTTCATGTTCTTTTTGCTCTTGTCTCTTTTTCCCTGGATTTTGATAATCAAGGTCAAAGTTGAGAACCAGCACGACTTCCGGGACATGGCCAGCATAGTAGCCATGGCTAAAACCTATGCCACCACCGAGCCATTCATTGACTCCAAATATGACATCCGAATCCAGAAAATTGGCAGCAACTACAAGGCTTACATGTGAGTGCATGGCTATGCCAGAGCGAGACGGGGAGGAGGCAGTGCTATGGATGTGATTGAGTCCGTGTCTGCTCTGGGCAGGAGTAGGTAGCTGACTTAATTTCCTTGAAGAATAACCCTGCTGTTCTCCTCCCACCTCTGAACCCAGATCCCTCATCCACCAATCATCTTCTCCATTAGTCACTGTCAGGTCATTGTTTCTGGAATGTAAATCCCTGTCTGTCTGTTTCTGAGATTGTTAGTTCCCACTAGTGACTGTGCTCAGCCATAATCTCTCCATCCTGTTGGTGAAGGGCTCATTTCTCCAGCAAAATCCTCCAGCTCCAAGTACCCTCTAGTGGGAACTGAACCCACCCACTTTCCACCTGGAGAAAAAAATTAAAGAGATTGAACTAGCTGCAACTCCTGGAGTCCTACAGCTCCTCCAGGCCATAGGAGCACCCCATCCTGCAGCCCACAGCAGCATCCTATCCTCTCCCCAGCTTCAGATCACAGCACCACATCACACAGTGGCACAGAGCCCCAGGTACAAACAGCCTCAGCCAGGGCAGCACACAGCGTTTCTGTCGGCACTTTGCATGTGTGCTCCTTGACGCATACAAAGGAGGGAGAGGAGGTGAGACATTTCTGTGGGTGCCCCAAAGCTCCTCCCTGCCCTGTGGGATAGTGAGGGATGTGGCATGACAGCAATCTTCAACAATGGTATGTTTTAAAGTATTAAAAAGCATTCAGCCAAACTTCAGTAGTCACCACGCTCAGTTAGAGATGTTCCCACATGAGTCAGTGAGACACCTGTTTCTTCTTACTACAAAGGAGTAAATGAAAAAAGCCACACAGCACAGCTTCTCCAGAAGCTCCTTGTCCAACCACAGGATTCTGGACAAGTAGTCTAGTACTCTGACAAGTGGTCAGCTCCAGCAGTACATTTTTCAGGTCGCCAGATAAATTGCATATGTTACCTAACACCCACAACAATGTCACTTTTGGATCCAGGTTTACAAACCTCTAGGCCATAGTTCTAATGAAACATAGTTAAACAAGATAATCAAATGTACATAATCACATATTTTTCAGCTATAACTGCTTAAAATTCCCAGCTGGATTCCTCGCACAGAGATGTTTAAGAAAACTAAATAATGACTGAGTCACATTCTTAATGGGAAGGAAGGACATGTGGGACACTTGCCTATTTCATGTGATCTCAATGAAAGAAAATTTATTTTTAATTGAATCAGGTCAACAATAGCACAGTTGCCTAATATTACATTAACTTCTCAGAGAGTCTGACTCAAACTGGCCAAAGGAAAGAAGGTTTAAAATATCAATTAAAATTCCCTGTTGCTGCCAACACACCCAGCCTTGGCTCCAGAGCCCGCTCCCCAACTGCCTCCAACAGAAACAAAGGCCAAGTTAGCCTGACCATACTCTCTCCTCACTTATTATTTGCACTCACCATGCACTCATCCAGAACGGGGATCAGAAATAATACCAGATGATTGAGAAAAGAAAGCAGTCACACTAAGACCTAATCCCACTTGGGACTATAGCTGCACAAACAATTGTTTGCTAAAGAAAAAATGTTTTCATATGAAAACAGTCATGAACAGAGAGCACCTTAGTGAGAAATTAAGCTCATTAGCAAAGAAAGCAAACAGCAAGATTCAGACAGTGACTTGCTAACCCAGGAAGCTGACTTAGATTGAGAGAGCCATTTATGGTTTTGAGCTTGGGAGAGTGGTATAATCAGTCCCCACCAGGGACTGTTCCTTCTGCCCCAGCATTAGACAAAATAGGTTATTTCTATGGTATAAGTCCCTACTATGTCCAAGGACAGAGGTAGAAGCACCCAAAATATCAGAGCTCTCACTGGTGTCCCAAATAGGAAACTCCAAACCATTAGTCATGCTAGCAAATCTCAGCCTTAAAGGCAATTCCAGCATCTGCAGTAGCGTCATACTGACTTGCTTTGATCTGTGAGCCGTGGAATCTATCCAGTAATTTTATACCTTCACCCACACATATAGACTTTAAAAGCCCCTTTTCTTTTGAGAAATGACTGCACTGAAATTCTCCAGAATATGTTTACTTTGCACCAAGCATCTGCCAGAGAGAGAATGCTGCAGGGTGAGTCATGCATTCCTCCTTGCCCCAGATGTTTGATGCACTTCCTTCCAGCCCATGACCCAAGGCTTCAGTTCAGTTTCCCATTGGCTTCAGTGCCGTGACTCCTGATTTACACTCCTAACAAACTCCTACTTAGCCCATGCCTTCAGCCAGTCTGAAAACAGCAGATAAGCAGCATATGATACATGCCTAAAATTCCACCAAGTGTATTTGGCTGCCATTGTAATACTGGTGAAGAGAAAACATGAAAACAGCTCATGTTACAGGGGAAATTGGGGCAGAATTTATGCTTCCACACTCACCCCAACTGGAGGCAAGCAAGGAGATAATTTCCAGTTAAGACTCATGAAATGTTGTTCACTTTGAATTAAGCCAGCAGCTACTGACTTTCAGGCATTCTGATATTCTTGCCACCGGTTTTTGGTAAGAGGGTAATATCCTTCCTTTGTAGTTTCATGAGTGGGAATTCTGACCTTGTCACCTCCAGTGCAGTTCAGTGTGCTCTGTAGGGAATGCCACATAACTGTGTCTAAACTAGAGCTACTTATAGACTGAGATAGGACACCAACAGCTTTTGATCTGCTCATTTATCCACTTCTCCTAAACAGTGCTGAAGGTGTCGTAGTCACAAATGTATTTAAGCAACTGATCTCTAAAAGTCTGGGGTCCTTCTCTTTAAGATAGTGATTGTACTCTGTGTGGCCCCCTGATGTTTAGGATGGTTGGAAACACTTAGACTTTCAGTCCCTAAGAGAAATGGGGTTTGAGGCAGGACATCCTTAGGAAATTTTTTGGTTTTGGTCTTCAGTCTCCTTTTTCACTTTATACAGTACAAAAAAGAAAATCAAAAAGGTCTGTGAGGAGCAGTTGGGGTCACTTGGTCTATTTAGCTTGGAGAACAGGAGGCTGAAGGGAGACCTCATCACAGTCTCTAACTTCCTCACAAGGGGAAGAGGAGGGGCAGGCACTGATCTCTTCTCTTTGGTGCCCAGTGACAGGGCCCAAGGGAATGGCCTAAAGCTGTGTCAGAGGAGGTATAGGTTAGATATCAGGAAAAGGTTTTTCTCCAGAGTGTAGTTGGGCACTGGAACGACTCCCCAGGGAAGTGGTCACAGCACCAGCCTGACAGAGCTCAGTAAACATTTGGACAATGGTCTCAGGCACATGGTGTGACTCTTGGGGACGGTGCTGTGCAGGGCCAGAAGTTGGGCTGGATGATGATTCTTTTTGAGTCCCTTCTGACTCAGGATATGTAGTGATTCTGTAATTTTGGGGGCACAGTTGACACCTGAACTGCTCAGACATGCTTGGGAGTGATCTTGACAGTGACTGTGGTGTAGGGATTGGTGCCTGATCCAGTGGGCTTCAAATAAAACACTTCAATTTCAAAACAGCAAGGTTCCCTAACAGGAAAGTTAGGAATACAGCAGAGAGATATATTTTAAATCTTATGCCCAAAATTGGCTCAAGCTGGATAAGCATAAACAAGTCCAACAAATCAGCCCAACGGTTTGAGCAGAGTTCTTATTTTGGGAGCTTTCCCATGTCAAATTTCCTTGTAAAACTGTCAAGCTGTGGTTTCATTTTCTTAGGGACAACACAGCTGCTTACATTTGGTATGCCAGGTACATTTTCTAAACACCAATGTCAAATCATCTTGTCACTGATGAGACTCCAGGAGTTCCCACCAGTACTAATAGGATTTTGGATGTCCTCTGCCACTGCAGGGCAATTTTCTGTAAAAAATAAATGTTAGCAAAGAGAGAGTCTTCCCATTGCAGGACTGAAAAATATAATCCTAAGAATCCCATATCAAAAGAGAAAGGAAGGCTGAGGACTGAACACTGACCTTACCCATCGAAGAGCTCATAACAATCCAAGCTTGAGGAGGAATCCATTCTTAGGAAGGAGGGCAGCAAAATAGATGCTGCATGAAGGCAACAGGCCCAAAAGTCAACTGTATGAAAACACAGCTATTGAACACAGTAGTCCTGCTCCTTTGGGCCCCCCAGTCCCACTCCATTCCTTTGAACATTCTTACAAAGACAATTTAAATTTCACAGCAACAAAACACACCAGTTTAGATAATTGGAAAAAGCACTCCAGTGTGTCTCTCACAAGAGTAAAGGGTAGTCAGCTATAATGATCCAAGTTTATAGTCTAGCAGGACATCAATATTACCACTGCTGAACATAGTTTTGCGAATTCAGTGTCTTTTGCACATGTTGCTGAAAATGTGAGAGAATCGGCAGAAAGGGCTCCCATGACCTCATGTTGAAGTATTGGATCACACCTCATACCCCCCTCATAAATCTCTTCCTCAGCGTGGAAAGGCTTCCTGGATGTATTCTGTCAGCTTGTTGACTTGTCCTGGCTTGTACACTATGGAAGGGTTATCTGAAGTGTTGTCAGAGCAGGCTGTCCCATGTCTGCCTTGGGCCCAAGCTCAAGAAAAGGAAAATTTTCACCCCTGATGGTGATGATGAAACCCAGAATTTTCTAGCAACGGTACCTTTTTTGGAAATTAACTAGCAGTTGCAGCTAATGAAACTCCAAAGATTTTGAATTAAGAAATTCTCCAAGTCTGAACACAATGAGCCACCAACATGTCAATGAAAAGTCAGTGAAAAGACAGTACGATAATATTTTCTATGACATCATTACCACTGAAATCAAATTTAAGTGGACACAGAAGTACAATTGAAATAAAATTTAGGTAGACCCAGAATGTTAGAACTGATATTTTGTGACGCTGCTCAGCAAATATTTGCCTGGAGAGCTTCTGTTCCATGGATGGAGGATGCTACTCATTGCAGAACACAAGGGTGATTATCCTAGAGATATTTCACACACATTTCAGCTCCCGTAGGTCTGATGTATAAAGAAAGAAAGTACTCACAGAGCCTGATGTGTGCTTAAGATTCCTTGGAGGTTTCTCTGCCTAAAATCCTCAGTTAGTTTTTCATGAGCCCGAACAACATATCCTGTATGGAGTGTTGTTCAGGAAGGATTTGGAAAGGCTTCTGGGAGGAAGAACCTCACCTCATCCCCTCCTGTACAAGCACAGAGTCAAGAATGAGGAGTACAGTATGCGGGAGGATGGGTCAGGAGTCTATTTTCATGTTGAGGTTATGTTTTTGGTTTGTTTTCCTAGGAGGACTTCCATCTCTGGAAACTGGAAGGCAAACACAGGTTCTGCGATGCTAGAACAGATTGCAATGACAGAGAGGTAAGGAAGAGTGTTTCAAGACAGTATTAGCTATTCTTGGGTTAGAAGGGAGGGATTGTACTTCCGACTTTGGTTAATTGAGAGAACTGGTAACTGAGGCCTTCTGGGAGGCTGGATAAAGACTTTAAAAGACCAAGCAGTTTCTTAAAAAAATACTAAGGACACAAAGGCAAACTGTCCTATTTTGAAGAACAGACTGAAAGTACAGCTAGAAACCAGCATTGCTAAATCATTAGATCTTTAGTGAATGTAACCACAGGAAACAAGACCAGCATGCTAGGTCAAGCACACCAGTACAAACATGTAGGGATAAAATCAGAAAGGTCAAAGCACAAAACATAAAGTAACATGAGGTTATTCTAAGTACATTACTAATGAGAGGCAGACACAGAAAAGAGTTTTTCTTCTCCTTAACAGAGGAAAAAAACTGTCAGCTGAAGTGCTGAAAGCACTTTTTTGCTTTAGGCTCACAAAAGTCGTCACTGTCTAAGCTAAGGTCTTCTCACTGTTGAAGAGAGCAGAAAGAATTTCCTCATGCATCTTACAGACTAAAATCTGCAGATGCTACTTCCGTGTATTCAAATCACTGTGATATTTGCTAATACTGCAACTGGCTGACACTGTGGACTCATGGTAACATGCTTTGCTGTAACTCTTATCCTGCAGAACTAACACTTGTTCTCATCACTTTTCTCCATCCCATCTAGATGGGTTGGATCCCAGTAGATTATTCATAGATTTACAGAATCCATAGATTACATGTAGGCATTCATCCTTAATGAATTTAAGATTTTTTCAGATCATACTCCAGTTTGTCAGTTTCATGATTAATTCTGACTGTCCATTTGGGCACCACAGTTGAAAAGAAATAGCAAGGAGCTGGAGAAAGTCCAAAGGACAATAAAAGGAACATTCAGAGAAAACCTAGTGAGCTGTTGAGTAAAACATGCAACAATTCTATGTACTTCTATGCAGTTTTCCACCTTTTTCAGTTAGCAGACCACTGATATTTTTCCAGTAGAGGTGTAGACTAAAGCACAATGAATCCCTGCCTGCAGTGCAGAAGTTCACTTTCCTTCATAACTGTTACAGACCTGGAAGAAGTTGCCCACAAGCTGAACACCACTTCATCCTAATGATGAAAAAAATAAAGAGCACAGGATCTTTAAATACAGGAAAGCCTTCTATATAAATATAGGCTTTTCTCATTACTTACATTACAAATATAATACTGTAATAAATAAATTATAGTTTAAAAGGTCCATTTGAACATTTTTTATAGTTTCTTAAAGTAAGGATAGCACAGCACAGAAATCGATTCTCTGAAAGGGATGGCAAATCTCTGTCCTCTTTCAGACCAGATTAAGGAAATGTCTCCTCTTGGGAACAGGAGAGTTGTGCAGGCAATCATCCAAGGCCCTTTCTGCACCTTTAGTTCTGCAAAACAGGGAAGCCAAGCCCCAGATCAGATGCTGAAGGTGACTCTGGTAAGACCATAATAGTACTGTGGGAAGTGTTCATGATGATGCATCCTGGCTGTTTATAACACAGCTGAAGCTAGACACATGAAGGGTAGACATTACCTTATTGCAGTTCTGTAGGACTAAAACCCAGATTCCTGCCAGCCTGCAACACTGCATTTTGAAGGCTCATTTTGTTAATCGTACCACAATTAACCACTCCAGCCTTATTCAGCCATAAATGCAACAAACCCTGTTGAAATATATAAGTTGTCAGAACATTAAACAGGAATGTGCTCAAGTGCTCTGATGAGTAGGAGCAACCTGAAGTACCTACTGAACAGTAAGTACAAAGGATTGAAATGTTCAGATGATGCAGAAATGACAGTAAATCCTCTGAAAATGCAGCACCTGGTGCATGTGCATAAATATGCTCTTCTTCCCAATAATGCTCCTATTACACCAGCAGCCCTGATGCTCCCAGCGCTCACCTATGGCCAACAAACATGGAAGATGTGCAGCCACCAGAGTCTCTGGCATGAATAATAACTCCCTGAGCCTGGCTGCTGAGCCCAGACACCTAGAGATGGTCCTCAGGAACAGAGGTGGTTCCCACAGGGCCACAACAGTGCATGAGGGGTGCTCTCTGTGCCTCCTCCCTAACTCATGCACTCCATAATTCTCCTCTTCCTTAAACTACTGACTCCTCCTCATACACTGTCTTCCATGGGGGTCCAGGGTGAACACACTTAGTCTCCTCATTAGGGATAAAAGAGCACTGGTAGTCATATAAGTCATAATTTTTCTTCTTCGAGAGACATTGTGTTCACACAAGTTGATCATTATATTGTCGAGCTATGGGGACTCTGGCTGGCTTCAAGGACATAAATTTGTTCTTTAGCCAGAACAGCTCTTTCTCCAGTCCCTGTAGGGTCTGTGAAATGTCAGTGTTTTCATGAGACTGTGGCCTTCCCTCCCCTCTCTGCATCTTGTCATAGTCCTGCTTACAGATCTGCTGTTCTGAGATTATTATTTTTATTTAAATGGCCAGGACCACGGCACAGCTGCACAGGAAATAAAACCAGGCTGCCTCAGTCCCTCCTCATTTGCACAGCAGGGGCATGTGGTCCCCCCATAATATGCTTCTTGTCATTCTCTCTCCTCCTCTGACTCCAGGATAGCTAAGGGGCCACCAGCTCACATTCCCGTCCTGGGATGGATAGGGAAAAGTGCTGCAGCCTGAAGGTCTCCCTCCAACAAATAGTGCCTATTCCATGTGATGAGACTGCCTGACTAGGAGCAACACCCAAGGGACAGAAGGAGGCTTGAGACTGTAAAAAGATTAAATTGAAAGTAAATTGTAACATGCAGGAGCTACTGCATTACAGATCAGAGAGGGGATGACTACTCCTTGCTAAATTCAACACTCACTTTCTGATCCTATTCCAGTCCTAATGTCCAGGACGTCTTATCAGGAGAAAGCTGCCTGCATAATGGAGGGCTTTCAGGCAAAGCCAATACAAACGCTGAGGGGCCAACACTACTGGGAGATTAAATGAGCTAAATATTTATAGCTTGGCTGAATGACAACCAACTGGAGATCTGATGTAAATACCAAGGAGGGAAAAAAACATTTTAAGGTGGCTTTGAGGGCAGGGTTGAATCAATCTGAAATGAAGGGAAACTTTAGGCAAGATTCTTTTTTTTTTCTCCATCTCCTGTGCAAGAGAGGGAGTCAAGGACCCAGCAAAGCACATGAAGGACGCCTTGTAATAAAGGCTCCCAAACCTTGTAATAAAGGCTTCCAAACTGCTTTGTGTTCCTACAGGCAGCAGGGTGGGTGGCTGGTTTTGGTGGGATACCCAAGGACAGCTAATACTAGGCCATGCTCTTGTTTCTGCAGGTACAGACTCTGGGCAGATGCCTGTGCAGAAATGTTTGGAGGTCTTGATATCTGCGCTGTCAAAGCTGTCCACAGCAAAGATGGAAAAGACTATATCATTGAGGTGAGAGCATGGGCAACCTGAATGTGAGTCTCCTTTGGGAAGTGTAGCTGCAGGCGCTCTGCCTTGGAGCTCACATGCGCCAATGTCTCGCATACCCCTGCATGCTCCTGTAGTCTCTGCTCCTCCGTGCCCACAGGCCATCCTCATAACACTGATATGTTAGGAACCGATTCAGAGCCCCAGCCAAACTAGCAGATATACAGCAAAGTGTCAGGGTTGAAGTGTCTTCCTTTCTCAGTGTGGATTGTGAAAGGAAATGGAGAGCCACAGAGTGCTTGGACACCTCAGCTTTCCAGCAGATGATTCAGTTCATTAAAAATCTCAGTTTCTCTCTGAATGAACCTGTCTTTCTTCAGTCGCTTTAAAGGGGACTTCCAAACAAAAATCCTAGCTGCACCTAAATAAAAAGAGGAAAATAAATTTTGAGAGTATAGCAAAAGGTTCACAAGCAACCAGAGCAACTAGATTGACCAAAAAAGAAAGGTGTATATTCTAAAATCTTTTACCCAGACTGTGTTCACTACAGTAAGAGGCCATCAAGACAAAGCACTACAAAGTTAGTATGGGTAATGTGTACTACAACATTTTGTATTCAGGGCTGGACAGACTGTGGCCTTGAGAGCTAAAGTTCAAGGTGCTCCTTCCCAGGCCAGGAGGCGTATGGCAGATATGGAAGTGGGGTCAAATCATCCTAACAGGGCAGAGAAAGAAAAGCTGGCTGGAAAATCAAAGTGGAAACTGAAGAGATTCCCTGGAGAAGAGACAATCCAGCAAGTAAGCAAGTGCCTCTGTCAGTATGTGACTTGAGGAGACACAACATCTGACCTGCTGTAAACTCCACCAACACAGGCCAGCTGAGGAAGACGAGCAGAGCCAGCCTATTGGCTTCATGCAGGGGTGCTGACACACTGGAAAGCTATGTGTGGGAGAGCAGTCCCACCCGCTGAGGGTTGGGATGCTGATGAGAACCACATGAGCCCTCCAGTGACTGTGCATTCCTGCATTGTGTATCTGCTCTCCCCAGGGAGGGGAGCAGTGACCTGTCAGAGGCCATGTGACAGAAGTGTGCTGCCAGCAACCAAACGCTGGCAAGCCTCTGTCTTTTCCTGAATTGATGGGGCCAGGGCTAATGGGTCTGCTCCTGTGTGCAATTCATCAGCACCTAGAGGAGCATCCCCTAGAGAAGACTGTTTCCCTGCTGTGCACTTTTAAATCTCTACGTCCCTGCAGCTGGGAAAGAAAGAGCAAGAAGGCAGCCTTGCTAGAGACAACTGTAAAGACATTTGGATTGCTTCCACACGTGCTTAGATGTGATATGTGGTTTTCATATCCCTGCATATATTCTTGCACATAAGCCTATGTACGTGCACACACAGCTAGTTCTGGGCTTAAAGATTATAGGCCTCTGTCTGGGTATGCCTCTGGGTTTTCACATCTGCCACTGTGTGTGACTGACTGGTGAAAAGCACATCCGTACCCTAACAGCCATCATCAGCTTGCACACGAAGAAATGCATGCTCATGCTCCTCTCTCTGTGAGCAAGGTAAGCAGCAGTGCATCTAATATCACACAAATCAGAAGAAACACAATATCATTTCAGATGGCTCATGCTGAATTATCCCAGTGGAGAACCTGACTGAGCTGGCTTGATATACCAACATCTAGCAGGCATTCAGATGCCTGGCTGTTGGATGTTGTTGGGAAAAGAAGTAGTGCAATATAAGGAGCAGAACAAAGCCAAACAGGCACCTTTTTATACAGATCTCAGGGAGATATTGACAAGTAATTAATTGCCTCCAGCCAACTTCCTGGGGTTCTTTTCTTGGTCTGAAACTGATCCCTTGTTTTGCTTTTTTACTTTTGATAGTGGGAGAAAAAAAGTTATTTGACAGAGTGACAGTTGTATTTTCTTGGTAAGAGGGAACAGTGTGCTGTGACATTTTACAAGAATGCACACCCAAATGGGCTGAACAAACAAGGAATTTGCACAATGCAATTGCAGGCAGTAATTAATTTTCACAGTGCAAAGTAGTTCTTCAGGAAAGATTCACAAAGAGATAGTGATGGGCAGTTCTGTGAACTGAGACTTAGCAAAGTGGTTTATTGCAAAAAAAAACCAGATTAAGACAGATGAGTTATCAACAGCACAAGAGTAATCTTGCACACGTGGTATTTGCTCTTACTTGAACTTCACCTCCTTTCCTTTTCCCATGACAAACAGTAGAATATGTTACCTTTCTGCCTTCAAAGCCTTAGCACACTTACGTACCATTTTCATGGCTCATATTGAAACAGATTGTGAATTTAACAGTAAATGCTGGTAATTCTTTTTTCCTCTGCTTTAAAGAACTTTATCACTTTGAGGGAATATTCAACATAAGTAGTCAGCACTCAATCAGAATTCCTCAAAATAATGTAAATTCTCTACTGGTGCCAGCAGCCAGATTCTCAAAAGAGTTCAGGAACATTTATGGTTTAACAATCTCCCCTCTCCCTCTTTTTTCTTTTGGTGTTTTTTTTTGTTGTTTTGTTTTGTAATCAAGCCCATTTCCACAACTCTGCTAAGATGAAAAATATGAAGCAAGTGGATGGCAAGCAAAATGGTCCATGTGATTTATTCTTTCACCTGGAAGAATAAGATAAGCCCTGGCTGCCATGTTACTAAACACGCTTCTTGCTACCCTGCAAGGAGCCCTGCTCATCCCTTCAGCAGTGTCTATCATTTGTTTTGATATGTCCAATCATTGGTTTCCTTCCTTCCTTCCTTTCCTTCCTTCCTTCCTTCCTTCCTTCCTTCCTTCCTTCCTTCCTTCCT